ATGAAAAATTTGGAGAGAAGTGCGTCGATTGAAAAAGGCATGATTCCGAAAGGTAAAACCCCTTCAGCAACGCGCACTTTGTGCGAGTGGGTCTGAAATAGAGCCTTCTGATTGGCTGAAAAAGGCTAGAAAAAGTGAAATAGTATACATGTTGCTAGCTCCTCTCCTATATGTTATTATTTAGTCTTCTCTAAAACTGATGAAAGTTGTTGTTTTTTTAGATACAATTGATTCTAGATACTTGAGATCTGATGGTAGTGATATATTAGATACTTGAGATTTAGTATTTGATCTATAAAGATTTCATATTTGTTGATTTTTGATGACTTGAAGCTCTCTGCAGATGCAAAAGAGTCTGAATATGGATGGGACTGCGTTTGAATCATTACGGTGTCTCTGTTGATGTTTCCTGTGATGTATCTACAAGTAGGCCTAGTATTCAAAAAATGCAAGCTAGGATCATCTTTATGAGACTAGGCCACTCAATACAGAGAATAAATGAATGCACTTGGACATGGAAATGTTACATCTGAACCACCTACTGCTTCTGCTGCAATGTCATCTTCAACTCTTCTCCTACCTTCATTAGCTATTAGTAAGCCAAAACTGTCCCAAGGTTCAAGTATGTAGTGGATTAAAAACATCGGTTGTGAAGCATCTTGGCTCTGGAAAATGCATGCCTATTTCAGAATTTTTGTGAAGCACTTTTCAGAATTTAATCATCTTTGTAATATGATTGTATCTAATAGATTATTTCTTGGTTGTGGCAGTTTTCCTCGGTTCACTGTGAGTGGTGTCAGTGCAGTCATCTTGCTTAGCAGTTTGATTACTCTTGGCTACATCGACGAGGATGAAGAAAGGCACAACTTTGAACACAAAGGAGGTAAGGCCTGAAGCTTTTTTTTGGCCTATTCATACAGCACAAAAATGAGAAAGTTATTTGAATATAAGATTCTGCGAGCCATCAATTGGTTGGTCTCACTTTTTTAAAAAACTGCTGCTTGCTTAAGAGTTTCTATTCATTTGCTGAGTTGGTTATCATCTGGTTAGAACGTTTAAACTTGGATATTATACTTGAGCCGCATTTTCTTACTGGCATTCTATATTTGATTCTATTACAGGGTTTCTCTGCCCATTCGTCCCATACCTTCCAGTTCTTTGCATATTGATCAACACCTACTTGATCATCAACATTGGGTGAGTTAGTCTGATGGACCCATGCATGATACCAGTATATTGGGATGTTTCTAAACCCTAGCTGGTAATTTGTAATGGCAGAGCTGGGACATGGATCAGGGTCTTGGTATGGCTACTTATTGGAAGCATGATCTATCTCTTCTATGGCCGATCTCACAGCTTACTGAACAATGCGGTTTACACGACTTGTACCAGAAAAACAACAGATCATCTTGCTTAAGATTGGTGGTTCAATGCAGCAGCTGAAGGGAGTCGAGCTCAAGCTTTGTTGTTGCTGAAGTAGCATCGAAAGAGAATTAAACAGTTTGGCACAAGATTAAAATACATACAAGAACATTTCATGTACATTGTTAAGTCATTCAAAATGTATATCTCTTATATATGCCAACGTACATTGGACTTTGAAGTAGTCCATTTAAAAACTCTCATGAATCATCATGGTACTAACATGAAAGAAGACAGTGTTGTGGTTAGTATACTATTGAGGATCGGATCATCAGCCTTATCGACTTAGGCAATGAGTTGAGACTTCCTTCACCTTAATTAAACTCAGCAGATTCTCTCTCACATAAATCCAAAAAAAAAAAAAGGAAACAAAGGCAAAGAAAGAAAAAGGAAATAACAGAAAAAAGGAAATCTTTTATGTGACCGTTAATTAATTGTGATTAGCAATTTCCTTTTTCTTTTGAACCTCTTTGCTTATAAATAGATGAGACTCTATTTCTTCCTTGTGAGAGAAATCAAAACTCTCTGTTTCTCGCTTCTTCTTCTTCTTCTTCTTTGAAATAAATTAGGTCGCTGCTAAGAGTTAGGGTGATCGGAGCCGGAAAGCATATATCATCGTGAATGATGATATCCTCTGTCATCTTCAGTCGCCCTAAATCCACCGGATAATGATCTAGCCACCGAGGTCGATGTCACAATTAGGGGTGGATGTCGTAAGTGGTGGATGATGTTGGAAACTGATCCTATTCTTAATCCTACTTGAGATGAGATCAAGACAAGAGTGGAGAAGATGAGAAGAGACTGCAACAAAAGAGAGGAGAGAGATCGTAACAAGAGAAGAAAGAAAGAAAGAAGATGTGTTTGTGTTTGTGTCGTAAGAGAAAGAACAAAAAGGCCAATGGGCCTTGGTGTTGAATTGAAGGCCCAAATATTAAACGGGTTATTCACATGGATGTCACCGAAGAACGATGGGCTCAAATCTGACTTTAGAATGGCTTTTTCGTATCGGGCCTTCTTTGCTACCAAATCCAACCAGGTATTCCTTTCTTCATTCTTATTTTTTGTTTTTGTTTCCTTTTATTTTTCTTTAATATTAGTTTAAATATTTAATTAGTTTATAAAAATTAAGTGTTAGTTAAACTAAATCATTTTAAAATAATAATTTTTTCACTTAAACTATAAAAATTTTACTAAAATTTAAAACAAATTTAACACTTAAAACTTTTAACTAAAACTATGTTAATTTTACTATTATTTTTTAAAAGTTAGTTTAAGTGTTAAATTTTAAAAACGTCGAAAACTAACCGCGCCTAGGCATCCTGTCCTTAGTTGGTCCGTAAGCTTTGGTGTTCGAAGTTTGGCAATGTTTTCACGTAATATAGATTTAACACTTAAACTCATTTTTAAAAAATAATAGTGATTTTGACTAAAATTTATAATAAATTTAACACTTAAACTTAAAAAATAAGTTTTTTTAAAACTAAAACCATGGCAATTTAACTAAAACTTTTTAAAAATTAGTTTAAGTGTTAAATTTTAAACACGTCGAAAATTAACCGCGCCTAGGCATCCTGTCCTTAGTTGGTCCGTAAGCTTTGGTGTTCGAAGTTCGGCAATGTTTTCACGTAATATAGATTTAACACTTAAACTCATTTTTAAAAAAATAATAGTGATTTTGACTAAAATTTATAATAAATTTAACACTTAAACTTAAAAAATAAGTTTTTTTAAAACTAAAACCATGGCAATTCACTAAAACTTTTTAAAAATTAGTTTAAGTGTTAAATTTTAAACACGTCGAAAACTAACCGCGCCTAGGCATCCCGTCCTTAATTGGTCCGTAAGCTTTTGGTGTTCGAAGTTCGGCAATGTTTTCACGTAATATAGATTTAACACTTAAACTCATTTTTAAAAAATAATTGTGTTTTTGACTAAAATTTAAAACAAATTTAACACTTAAACTTAAGAAATAAGTTTTTTAAAACTAAAACCATGTCAATTTCACTAAGTTTAAGTGTTAAATTTTAAACACGTCGAAAACTAACTGCGCTTAGGCATCCTGTCCTTAGCTGGTCCGTAAGCTTTGGTGTTCGAAGTTCGGCAATATTTTCACGTAGTATAAATTTAACTTAAACTCATTTTTAAAAAATAATAGTGATTTTGACTAAAATTTAAAACAAATTTAACACTTAAACTTTAAGAAATAACAATTTTTAAACTAAAACCATGTCAATTTCACAAAAATAATTAAAAATTAGTATAAGTGTTAAATTTTAAACACGTCGAAAACAAACCGAAATCCGTAGTTGGTCCGTAAGTTTTGGTATTCAAAATTCGGCAAATCGAAATTCGGCAAATAACTCTTTACATGTTTAAAAGTTAACCACGGTACGTAAAAGAAGAGATAACCATGTGGAAAAACATTTTGGGAAGTGATTTAACAACAATTTTTTTCATTTAATATCGCTGTTGTCGGAATGTCAAAGAACCTTAGAGTCAAATCTAGCTTTAGACCACTCTTCTCTTCTCCACAAGGACGAAAATGGCGGTTTTGTTTCAAATCCCTCACTTTATGCCACATGAAGCTCTCTTTCTCCATTTACTTGGTTGCCCAAATCCTCTTGACCTCACTCATTCCCTTCGTTACCGGAACACACTCGAGTTACCGTACAGTTGAATAACGTACAAGTCATCAAAAGAAGGAATGGGATTGAATTGCGCCGTGATGAGGTATCTGTGTTCTGATTTTGTTTTGGTTTTGAAAGAGAATGACAAATTCAAGTTTCCTGGTGGAGCTGATCAGTACTTGGATCAGAAGATCTCAAAGGTTAATCGATTTCAATGAATCATTATTTGTATGTGTAGCTGATTCCTGGTATGTATCACCTTTGTTGTTCTTGACATTGGATGTGGTGTGTTCGTCGGCATATGTATTCTTGACTTTGGATGTGGTGTGTTCGTCGGAGGGATCGACGATGAGGACAAGCGGTTAGTTGGTTTACATTGGTTTTGACATTAAAATTGATTTAAATGGTAGTGAAATTAGAATTGATTTTGGGTTCGGTTTACACTGGTTAAGAGAAGAAAACAAAAAAAATATTCACGCGATGAAAAATTTGGAGAGAAGTGCGTCGATTGAAAAAGGCATGATTCCGAAAGGTAAAACCCCTTCAGCAACGCGCACTTTGTGCGAGTGGGTCTGAAATAGAGCCTTCTGATTGGCTGAAAAACTCTAAAAAAAGTGAAATAGTATACATGTTGCTAGCTCCTCTCCTATATGTTATTATTTAGTCTTCTCTAAAACTGATGAAAGTTGTTGTTTTTTTAGATACAATTGATTCTAGATACTTGAGATCTGATGGTAGTGATATTTTAGATACTTGAGATTTAGTATTTGATCTATAAAGATTTCATATTTGTTGATTTTTGATGACTTGAAGCTCTCTGCAGATGCAAAAGAGTCTGAATATGGATGGGACTGCGTTTGAATCATTACGGTGTCTCTGTTGATGTTTCCTGTGATGTATCTACAAGTAGGCCTAGTATTCAAAAAATGCAAGCTAGGATCATCTTTATGAGACTAGGCCACTCAATACAGAGAATAAATGAATGCACTTGGACATGGAAATGTTACATCTGAACCACCTACTGCTTCTGCTGCAATGTCATCTTCAACTCTTCTCCTACCTTCATTAGCTATTAGTAAGCCAAAACTGTCCCAAGGTTCAAGTATGTAGTGGATTAAAAACATCGGTTGTGAAGCATCTTGGCTCTGGAAAATGCATGCCTATTTCAGAATTTTTGTGAAGCACTTTTCAGAATTTAATCATCTTTGTAATATGATTGTATCTAATAGATTATTTCTTGGTTGTGGCAGTTTTCCTCGGTTCACTGTGAGTGGTGTCAGTGCTCGTATGAGTGTTTGTGAACTTATTGTGATACAATACAGCCATTTGCCTTGTGACTTAGGAACAGTACATATCATCTATCTTACTTCTGCTATAGGACCGGCTCAGTCCGGCGGGTTCGGGGTGTCTTTTC